TTAGGAAATATTGCTCGTTAAAAACATTGCAATTAATAGTAACGGAAATACCGCATGAAACTGCTTTGTTTCGGAACAAAGATTTTTCACGAATCATGAATCGATATTGCTAACCTACTTGGCCAATTCGTTAATTATCAAGCTTATTGTTTTGTAAATTTTTGTTCGCGTTCCAATCTGCACAGCATGATATGAAAATTGATAGCCGCGATAATGCGACTGCGGAGAAAAAAAAGAAGCCAAAGGGCGAATATATGTGCGCTATACGTTACACAATCGTCTTGACGTTGTTCGAAAAATAATTATTGCCCCGCGCGAGAAATATCGGTGAAAAAAAACGTTGACGCGTACGCAGCACACACATATCAGGTAGGAAAATTCTCGCACGGTAACGTGCTCGAGAAGAAAATCATCACCGAATTCACTTTGCACGGCAGCTGGTTCAATTCAAATCGCTCAATCAGCCGAGAAGAGGAGGCAGTTGCCGTCGGTAATCTAATACAATTACCGAGACATTTAAGGAGGCTAAATGGGCGCAGTAAGCACCGCACACCGTCCGATATCTGTAAAATTTTCAACTGTAATTAGCTCAGAAAAGAGACTTCACGCGGCTGATCTCGATGCATTTTCGAAAATGCCATTTTTCTTTATCATTTTAACCCGTTAACGCCAACATCAAAGACAAGACATTATCTCCCAGTGATTTTTTTAATGCCTTATCTATTTGTATAATGATTAGACCGCCAGTCTTATGCATTTATATAGCATATGATCGCGATAGATAGAAAAGTGGACTTTAAAAAAGGTTCGTTTAAACCTGTAATTCCCGTACCACCTAATTGCTGTATTTGTAACGCGTGTCTGAAATAATATGCGAAGTAAAATGATAATTAGAAAAAGTATTTGTCTATATGTTTGTATAACTGTAACAGGTGAAGTCAGATTTTAAAGCGTATATGCCGCGCATACACGGAAATGCAATCATGCCTCGCCAGCAGAAACTGTTGAGAAATGTGCATATAGTAATAATAACTAAATGCAAAAACGTTTTGCTTTCAGCTTACTGTCCACTAGGCTCTCGCGTCTGATACATTTTGCGAGAACGGCTATTTAGAAGAATCGTCGCGACAATTTGTCAGTGAAAATGCCGGCCCAATTTGAGAGCGCGAACAGCCCCATCGCGAGGGAACCAGTGAACGGTAACACACAATATCTCAAGGATGACATCGTCATTAGCGGTTTCTCAGGTAACGAGTAATTTCTTTCGTCCGACAGCGCGTAGAACGAAATCCAATAAATAACGTAAAATCTAACATACTCGTTATTGCTTTCAGGCCGTTTCCCAGAGTCTGATAATCCAGAGGAGTTGAAGAAAAATTTATTCGAGGGCATTGATATGATCACCGACGACGAACGTCGATGGACAGCCGGTATTTACGGTTTACCAAAAAGAACAGGCAAATTGAAGGATATCAAACATTTTGATGCCACGTTTTTCGGCGTCCACGCCAAACAAGCTCATTTGATGGATCCGCAACTTCGATTGCTCCTGGAAACAACGTACGAGGCCATAGTCGATGCTGGCATTAATCCACAAGAGATTAGAGGCTCGAAGACTGGTGTGTTCGTCGGTGTTTCTGCCTCGGAGACGAACGAGATGTGGACGAAAGATCCGGAAGCAATCAATGGTGCGATCTACTTAACTTTTTTCTACAGTATACGGAAGTGCATAATGCTTGAAATTATACAGACGATGGATCGTTTGATATCGTATTGATTGTAAGAGAAAATATTGTATGTAATATTGAATATTGAATATATATATATATTGTAATATTAATACGATATATAATATAATAGTAATATAATATTGAATCAACGTTCTATCTCGATTAGACGCGTGATTATTAAACGGTTATTTTTGGCATACAATCCCCATATACACATTTCCGTCACATATTTATTTTGCTGTCTATTTTCACAGGGTATGGTTTGACCGGATGCTGCAGAGCGATGTTTCCCAACAGAGTGTCTTTCGCTTTCGACTTTAATGGGCCAAGTTACGCGATAGACACAGCCTGTTCGTCGGCATTGTACGGTCTGCATCAAGCAATCAGTGCGATGCGCGCAGGAGAGTGTGATGCGGCTATCGTTGCTGGATGCAGCCTTTTGTTGAAGCCAACGTCGTCCCTCGAATTTCATAGATTAAGCATGTTATCAGCGGACGGCATGTGCAAAGCATTCGATGCCGATGGAAAGGGCTACGTCAGATCCGAGACTATCGGTGTTTTGTATTTACAAAAGTTAAAGGACGCGCGCCGAGTCTACGCTACTGTTATACATTCCAAGACCAACACAGACGGCAACAAAGTCGAGGGTATCACGTTTCCGAACGGACAGATGCAGAATAAAATGATGCACGAGGTGTACGCGGAAGCTGGCGTGAATCCGGCGGACGTAGTCTACGTGGAAGCACACGGAACTGGCACGAAGGTCGGCGATCCTCAAGAAATCAACTCTGTCGCTAATTTGTTCTGCAAAGGCAGGAAAACTCCTCTTCTTCTTGGATCTGTGAAATCGAATTTAGGTCACGCGGAACCGGCTAGTGGGATATGTTCTATGGCCAAAACGTTGATTGCCATGGAAGCGGGAGTGATACCGGGCAATCTTCATTTCAAAAATCCGAACAAGGATATACCCGCGCTACACGACGGCAGCATTCAGGTTGTAGATAAAAATATGCCATGGAAGGGCGGCCTGGTTGCCGTAAATTCCTTCGGCTTTGGCGGAGCCAACGCACACGTACTTCTTCGTAGCAATCCGAAACCAAAGCTGTCCCCGGTCTTAGATAGTAAAATACCCAAGTTAATCACTGTATCCGGTCGCACAGAGGAGGCTGTACAGGTTCTCCTAGATAAAGCCAAAGAACACATGAAGGACGACGAGTTCATTGCTCTTCTTCATGACACTTACGCGTTGAACATACCTGGCCATCTTTACCGTGGTTATTCCGTGTTGGGAACCGCTGGAGCCGAAGAAACCAATCAAATTAATGCTTCAGAGAAACGTCCTATTTGGTTCGTATTTTCTGGTATGGGCTCACAATGGGCAGGCATGGGCAAGGACTTGCTTTGCATCGAACCATTCAAGCGAAGCTTGCATCGTTGCGCCGATGCCCTGAAACCGGAAGGGATCGATCTGATGGACATCATTCTGAATTCAACAAGCGAATCATTTGTTGAAAATGTTGTACACTGCTTCATATCGATAGCGGCCATTCAAGTTGCCCTCGTAGACCTCCTGGCATACTTGGGCATTCATCCAGACGGTATCATTGGACACTCGGTTGGTGAACTGGGATGCGCGTACGCTGATGGTACTTTCACACCGGAACAAACAATTTTGGCTGCCTATTGGCGAGGAAGGTCCATTCTGGATTCAAAATTACCGCTAGGAGCTATGGCTGCTGTGGGATTAAGTTGGGAAGAGGCTAAAAAACGATGTCCAGCGGATGTATATCCAGCTTGCAACAACTCCAGCGATTCTGTAACCATTTCCGGACCAGTTGATGTTATGAAAAAGTTCGTGGAGGAATTGAAGAAGGAGAACATTTTTGTACGATTGGTAGACAGCAGCGGCGTCGCGTTCCACAGCAAATACATGGCTCCCGCTGGTCAGAATTTGCGCTCCGCTTTGGAAAGAATCATTCCGAATCCGAAACCGCGTACTTCCAGGTGGATCTCTACGTCCATACCTGACGGAGGTTGGGACAACCCGCTGGCGCAATTGAGTTCAGCAGCTTACCACGTGAACAACTTATTGTCGCCTGTGCTGTTCAAGCAAGGATTAACTTATGTGCCCGAGAACGCGATCGCGATAGAAATTGCCCCGCACTGTTTGTTGCAGGCGATTTTACGCAGAACACTCTCGAAAAACGTGACCAACATCGGTTTGCATAAACGGGACCATAAGGACAATTTATTCTTCTTGCTCGAGAACTTAGGGAAATTGTACATGGCCGGTGCACAGCCCAAGATATCTAAACTGTATCCTCCGATCAGTTATCCGGTCGGCCGTGGAACGCCGATGCTTAACTCGCTTGTTAAATGGGATCACTCCACTGAATGGATGGTAGCCGATTTCTGCAAGGCCGATGGCCTTTCTGGCGAAAGCGTGATCGAGTTCGACCTGTCCAAGGAATCGGACGCGTACATAGCTGGCCACACGATCGACGGAAGAGTTCTCTTCCCAGCTACAGGTTACTTGGTACTCGTATGGAAAACGTACGCCAAATTGCGCAACGTTGACTTCGAGAAACTGCCGGTTGTGTTTGAAAACGTGAAACTCCTGCGTGCCACTATCATGCCGAAAGAAGGATCAGTTAAATTCTTTGTTAATATATTCATGGGAAGCAATGAATTCGAGATCTGTGAAAATGGGTCCGTAGTAGTAACCGGGAAGATATCTGTACCGGAGAATACGGAGAGAATGTTGTTGAACCTTCCCACGCCGAACGTACGAAATGATCCTGAATTGTTGGAGTTGGACACTAAAGATGTTTATAAGGAGCTTAGACTGCGAGGATACGAATACACTGGAGATTTCCAAGGTATTAAGTCTGCTAACAATCGCGGCGGCAATGGAAAGCTTCTGTGGACCAATTGGATTTCATTCATGGACACCTTACTCCAAATTACCATTTTACAAAAGGACACCAGATCCTTGCATTTACCAACTCGTATACAGTATGTTGCTGTTAATCCTGTTCTCCATATGGAATTAGTGAATAACCTGAAAGAAGACGAGACTCTTCCGGTCCATTGCTACAAGAATATTGATGTTGTTAAATCCGGCGGTGTTGAAATCAGAAAGATGAAAGCATCCTTAGCCCCAAGAAGACAGCAATCTCAGATCCCTCCCAAGTACGAAAAATACACGTTCATACCCTACATAAACCCGAAACCAACGGTAGATGACCCTGAAAAGGCTAAAGTGAATGCCCTTACTATCTTATTGCAAATTGTTCGTGAAAATTTGGCAGCATTGAAAGTGAAAGTCGTAGAAGTAGCTGACAATCGTCCTGCAGATGCTCTCTTCGCAAGCACTATATTGGACATTCTGTACAGCGAACCCAGCGTCACTGTAAGTAAAATTAAACGTAGTTTTCATCATTTTTGATCTATTCAAATATAAAGTTTTATATATATATATATATATATAAATTCGTGTTGGTGTTACAAGCATCGAACTACCTCCTCACGAATTATTTTCATTCTAGGTTGATTACCAAGTCGCTGCAACTAACACAGAACAGTACAGCAACTTGAATGTGGAGAATGTAAAAGTTGTGCATAAGGATGTAAACGCTACAACCGTGGGACAAGATTTACATTTTGTCGTGGCTACGAACGTACTGTCTAAGAACACCGAATCCGCATTGAAAAATCTGTCCAACAGTTTGAAGGCAGGAGGCTTCGTACTGCTCGAAGAATCCGGTTTGATTAACGCGAACAGCCTGAACACCGCGAACTTGACGAATGTAGCTAAACAAGTAACCCATGGAAGGACTTATGTTTTACTTAAGAAGACTGAACAGTTAGCAGAACCGATGATCGTCCAAATAACAGAGAAGAACTTCCAGTGGGTGGAAAATCTTAAAGCAGCCATGAAGAAAGCCGCAACTGAGCAACAACAGATTCTTATAGTTAATCAAGGCGAAGAGCTGTTTGGTAAGTAAACGAAATATACAATAAAATGTGATCAAAGCTGTGAACTATCGTTGACAGAATATTATATATAACAACGTTATTTACATTATTCAGGTATGGTTGGACTTATGAATTGCATTCGCCGTGAAGAAGGCGGTTCCAACGTACGTTACGTGTTTATTCAAGACAAAACCGCACACAAGTTCAGTCTCAAGGACAAACTCTATGCCGAGCAATTGAACAAACAATTGATGGCCAATGTATTGAAAGGAGGAAATTGGGGAAGCTACCGTCACTTAATCTTAGACCAGCAAATAGGAGCGTCTTCTCTTCAAGTTGAACATGCATATATCAACGCTTTGTTCAGAGGCGATCTGAGTAGTTTGCGATGGATCGAGAGTCCTCTGAGCTATTACCAGCCGGAGAAATCCGTAGGAACAGAGCTTTTCCACGTGTACTATGCTCCATTGAACTTCCGAGATGTGATGTTGGCCACTGGAAAGTTGCCGCCTGATGCTCTGCCCGGCAACTTAGCTAATCAAGATTGTATATTGGGTCTTGAATTCTCTGGGCGTAATTCGAAGGGTGAACGAGTGATGGCGATGGTGCCTGCACGCGGTTTAGCGACCACTGTAGTAGCAGACTCTGGATTCTCATGGATTGTACCCAGCAAATGGACTCTGGAGCAAGCTTCGACAATTCCAGTAGCCTACGCAACCAGTTACTACGCCTTGTTTGTTCGAGGTGGCCTGAAACGTGGCGAAAGCGTCCTTATTCATGCCGGTAGCGGCGGTGTTGGTCAGGCTAGCATTTCCATAGCTCTACACGCAGGTTGCACAGTGTTTACTACGGTTGGCACGCCCGAGAAGCGACAGTTCTTGAAGAACATGTTCCCGCAGTTGACCGACAGAAACATCGGCAATTCTCGAGATACTAGCTTCGAACAATTAATAATGAACGAAACAAATGGTCGCGGTGTGGATGTAGTGCTGAATTCGTTGGCCGAGGAGAAGCTGCAGGCGAGTATCAGATGTCTCGCCGAGGGCGGGCGATTCCTCGAAATTGGAAAATACGATCTGTCCAATGACGCGCCTCTAGGAATGTCGTTGTTCTTGAAAAATACGGCTTTCCATGGGATATTATTGGATGCCATCTGCGAAATTGACGGTCCTGAGAGGAAGAAAGTGGTCAGGCTTGTGAAAGAAGGTATGGAAAATGGTGCCGTTCGTCCGTTGCCAGCAACCGTTTTCTCAGAACAGCAAATTGAACAGTCGTTCAGGTTCATGGCTACCGGTAAACACATAGGGAAAGTTGTGTTGAAGATTCGCGAAGAAGAGAAGGAGAAGGTTGTACCGCACCCAGCTCCAAAGATTGTGGCAGCCATTCCACGCACGTATATGAATCCGAACAAGTCTTATATACTGGTCGGCGGTCTTGGTGGATTCGGTGCAGAACTTGCTGAATGGATGATCAACCGCGGCGCGAAACATTTAGTACTGACGTCCCGGTCCGGTATCCGCAATGGTTTCCAATCTCTGTGTGTTCGACGTTGGCGCGAATCCGGCGTGAACGTTTCAATCTCAACGGAGAACGCGTCCACGATGGCCTCGGCAAAGAAGCTCGTCGAAGACAGCAACAAGATCGCTCCCGTTGGCGGGATCTTCAACATGGCGGCTGTTCTAGTCGACAATGTGCTCGAATCCCTCAACGAGGACGATTTCGAAAAAGTAGCGACACCTAAAGTTGCTGTTACCAAATGTCTGGATGCGGTGTCACGAAAGATGTGTTCCCTGCTGGACTATTTTGTCGTCTTCTCTTCCGTTTCGTGTGGTAGGGGTAACATTGGCCAAACGAATTACGGTCTTGCAAACTCTGCCATGGAGAGAATAATAGAGCAGAGACAAGCGAACGGTCTTCCTGGTCTTGCTATTCAGTGGGGAGCTATTGGAGATGTGGGATTAATTTTAGGTATATTAATTTTCATTTGTTATATACAGTATGTACTTAGCAGTACATAAAGAGTAGTGCGGTATTTTTTCGTTAACTTAGACCTGCTTCTGACATATTCCTTCATTTTTGGTTTCTTTTTCAGACTCTGTTGGTGGCGGTAACGATACTGAAATCGGTGGTACTATGCCACAGCGCATTGGAAGTTGTTTAGAAACTATGGACGTCTTCCTACAGCAACCCCATCCTGTCCTGGCTTCTATGTGCGTAGCCGACCAACGTAAGAGTCAAGACACAAGCAACAGAGTCAGCATTGTTCAGGCGGTTGCCAATATCTTGGGTATCAAAAAATTGGAAAGCATTAATTACACTGTCACACTGGCCGATCTTGGAATGGATTCTTTGATGGGAACAGAAATTAAACAATCGTTAGAAAGAAACTACGATCTAGTTCTATCCGCGCAGGATATTCGTAACTTGACGTTCGACAAGTTGAGATCGTTCGAGACCGGAGCGGTTGACGTTGCTGATGAGACGCAAGGTGAAGATGAAGCTGAGTCGCACTTCCTATACCATGCTGATAACGTAGATATTATTCCTGTGGAATCCATTGTTCAACTAAAAACGAAGGGTTCGAAGGGAGCACCTTTATTCTTTGTTCACGCTATCGAGGGATTGATTGATTCTCTGAAGGGCGTAGCTAGCGAATTGAATCGTCCTGCTTGGGGCTTCCAATGCGTTCAGAACACCCCGTTGAATACCATGGCGGATCTAGCAAAGTTTTACATTCAGGAAATGAAGAAAATCCAGAAAAAGGGACCATATCATATAGTAGGCTACTCGTTTGGAGCATGTGTCGCCTTTGAAATGGCTCTTCAGTTGGAAACCACTGGTGAAAAAGTAGTTCTAACACTTCTGGACGGATCACCGGAATTCGTTAGATTGCATTGCGTTGAAATAGGAAAACATGCAAGTGCGTCAAAAACAGACATTGTTGAGGATAATTGCAGGAAAACTTTGTCGTTCTTCATTAAACAGTTTAATGACAAAATCCGTTTCATTGAGGTAACTTATTTCTGTCTCTTTATTATTATTATTATTATTATTGTTATTATTACCATTTCCTTTACCCAACTATTGTGATTTATGCTGTATTACTGGTTTTGTTTTCTGCAGGCGTATAATATTTTGAAGGATACACCCGACGACGAAGTATTGGACAAAATGGTAGAGACGATAAATAACAAAGACTTGAAGAAGGAAGAATTGAAAACTGCTGGTATGTTGTTCCACAAAAAGCTGCAGGCAGCTTACTACTATGTCCCAGGTTTTAAATTCAGCGGAGACATCACGTTAATACGAATTCAAGAGAATTTTATTCATTTGAAGAAGGATTACGGTCTATCGGAGGTAATTGTTACGTCTGAACAAATTAATAAATTGTAATTACACGGCAAACGTTAATTATAAAACCAGCAACATGAATGGAAACTGATCTTGATTAAATGTGTGTAGATTTGTCAAAAAGAGGTACGGATCGAAGAATTGCCTGGAAACCACAGAACCTTGTTGACAGGAGACAATGGCAAGGAAATAGCGAAGATGCTAGAAACGTAAACTTACGTCTACTTATATGAAAACATCGGAGAATTGAGGAACTCGCGAATCTTTATCAGTTTCGTATAGATAAGTTGTAGAAAGTATCAATGTACAATAATATTGATAAAGCTCATCTTACAACTTAATTATTAATATTTAATAATTCTTAGATATTCTGTGTAAAGTTCCTTTTGTACAAATGTTTTTCCCTTGAGGTTTCCACTTCGCATTGTTCATTCATCACTCGCATTAATTTATATACTGAATTTATATGACAAGATTACTTTAGCGGTACCTTTTTTGTTTCATTTGTAATATTTGTCAGGTAGTACGAACGGGTATTACTGTAATTATTTAACGGATTTTAAGTATAAATATTTAAGTACCTTTAAGTACTATAGGTTTTTATAATGGTTGCTAGTGGACAAGTTAACCATTGTTTAGACCTATGGCATATATACATATATATATGTTCCATTTTGCATTAACGAATGACATTTCACAACTAGATCTCCGGGAATCCATGACATTTTTAAACAATAGAAATATGTGCAACTAGTAAGAAAATTTTACAGAGGAAACTAATGATAATTTAAACATACAGTTGATAATAAATAAACATTCATAGAAGTTGATAAACATTCACAATAGTTTTTTTCATTAACAGCAATATGTTTATTAAGTTAAAAATTGTAAATGTTTCCAGCTATTTTGATTGTCATTGAATTTATGTAATCTGCACTTGTTATATGTTACATCTTTCCTTGTATTATATTAATAAGCAAATAAAGAGCATTAAATAAATTGAGTTTTCTTATTATTATTTTAGAATATACCAATATCTTATCGATATATTTATATAGTCTAATAATTTATAGACACAATTATTTCTTAGAAATAAAATTTTATTCAATGAGATATGTATCTTCAACATCAGCTATAAAATAGTAAATGGAATGTATACCTCCTGCACATGAAACTGATTTACTTTTCTCGTTTCTTCGGATAACTTGGATCAGAAATTGCAGCACTTGGGTCACATGTAAATGACACAGTTAATGCATATCGAATTCCAAACTGCACTTTTTCAACTGCATGTAAATTTTCACTACCGGAAGTAAACATCGACACTCTGCCTGTAAAATGAATTTTTTTTCAAAATTATTTTCGTTCTTAAATATATGTGTATCTTATTGCATCAATTATTTACCTTTTCGAGGTTCCACTGTTGTATTAACATTATCTTTGTCCACATATATGAAACGACCTCCCTCAAAATCTCTCCCATAATCATTTAGATAAAGCAAGGAAGTATAAAAGAATGATTTGTACGTTTCCTTTTGTAAAAATTTACATGAATAAATAAAATACTATTAAGTAAGTAGCTATTTTTAGTTCACGTACATACCTTATCAACATGTGGGTGCCAGTATTCATCATGTATGGTCTTTGCAGATACATTAGTCATTCGTGAAAAGAATGTAGGCATTGTTAAATATATTTTATTGGCAGGTACTCCAAAATGATGTGCTACTGCATGATGTATTTTAGTTTTCACTACTCTGGAGGTAGAAATTTTTAGTTAGTATTCATAAAAAGCAACGATTCAGCAAGCATTAATATATAACACAAAAACATACTTATAAATCGCAAGGTCTGCGCTATTAAATATTTTTTTAGCTTCTGGCAATGTATAAATATCAATAAAAGCTTTGCCTTTACTCAGTGCACCGGTATGAAGGTCTAAAATACTTGCACCTCCATCGGAACCACCTAAATTCAAACCACTCGTCGCTATCCTTAATAAAACATCTGTCTCTGTTGATGATACTAACTTATCTGTAACTACCCTACCACATTTTTCTGGTGTACATTCAGGATATTTGTTTAGTTCTGTTTTATAATCATTCGAACAATCAAGATATTGCGTACGAGTTATTAGACTCTCTTTTTGCTTCGCAAAATAAACTTCTTTGCCTTGCCTGCTATTATACCATACTACGAATAATACTGCCAGAATTAGAGCACACCGTGACCATACCCTTTGATATGGAAATGTCACGGATGGACCAAATTTTCTGGAAAATAATATACATTCCCTGTTTTATTCATGAACAGGTCATAGATGTTTTTGTAAACTTATAGGTTTAATATGAAATAAAAATTTCATTGGGAGCAAACATAAAATGAGAAGCATTAAACTTTACCGATACATAAACATTCGTACTTTAAAAATTCATTTATGGTAAAACAATTATTGCTTTTATTAAAATTGTGTCGATATCAACTTCTTTAATTAAACTTTCATTAACCTAGATTACACAAAAGATCATTAAACATCATGAAAGACATATTTGAAATTCGTATAATATTAAAAAATAATTATATACATGAGTTCGATAAGAAAAGTAACAATTCAATGTTACTTACGAGTTGACGTTTTCATTTGGAGTTTCTTTCACATTCTCTTCTGGTTTTTTTTCCTTCTGATTTGTTTTTTCTTTCTTCATCTGCTTCTTCTTTCCTTTTTTAATTTCTTCCGACATTTCGTGATATTTTTAAGACACTTATAGTAACAACATTTTAGTCTATGTCTGCACGCATGACATAAGTAAAATCAACTTGTATTCAACTTTGCATAACAACACGTGTAGGTTATGTTATGATATAATATATGTTACACGAGATAGCAATCTAGTTATTACTATTATTTAATATTAACTAGTTATTACAAAAAATGTTAATGTATACGACAGATTATTACAAATGATATTAACACATATCAATATTTACAAAATCATCATAATTCAAATAATATTGAACAATCGACGCTGAACAATCGATAAGAATCAATACATTCATGCCTCGCCATATGTACTCCCGGACACTCTCGGACAATCCCCTTCCTCTTCCTGTTATGAAAAAAATTGAAAAAATAAATGCATACATTAGACCTGATTGTTTGACGTGTTTCCATAGAATGTTATTTATTGTACATTTTTCGAACTGTAGAAGCAAAATATACATTCTCTACAAGATTTCAGTACAAATATTACATAGACTTTTTCTTCTGCTAACATTCTGACATTAATCACTCAATGTCGAGGTTATCGATTCATTAGCATCCTTACCTTGAAAAAGTTTTTTTTTGTAATGAAATTTAAAGTAAGAATACGTAACACGGTGAAGTAGATTAGTCTCTATAGTTTTATATTACCATCTCTATATTATTAAAACATTAACAAGGATTGAACCTTTTACTAGGTTAAATAAAAGTGGACTTTGTAATGAGCAATGCCATATTTTTGATTATACGTTTTACGAATTTGAAAAGATTACAATCAGACCAATAAGTAAAAGCGGTGACACTCTTTCACACATATAAGAACGAATAATATTTACTATTAAGCAATATTATTACTTATTTACTATTAAATAATACAATAGTTTCGATATTATTTTATCTTATTTTTCTTTAATGCTTTCAAAGATACTAATTTGAACTGACAAACAGAAATGTGCGAGTACCGAACTGGATTTGATCGTTTGTTTGAACAAGATCTAACCCAAATTGTTCAACGACGAATGGAGAACGAAAACGACAGGGGTTGGTGTTCGAATAACCTCCGACAGTTCAAGTTTCAGTTAGCACTCGTTACCATGACTACACAGCAAAGTATGGCCGCTCGATTAACAGTTTGCGAGCGAGCGTTGCGCAGCAAGGTAATCAAGCACGTACGTGAAATGCTGACGATTTACAACTCAATTATTCCTGTAAGTTGAATTGAAATTAATCGAAAACTTAGATTAACGCTTCTCGCGAAATTTATATCCTTCTCGAGCGATCTTTTCGGTCTACTCGCCGTACTTCCGGTTCACGAGCAACAAGGGAAACATAGGCGTCGGCTTTAAGTCATGAAACATTTATCATTTCTGTTATCGCAAAGTATAGACACTTTAAAAAATTTGTCGCAAGGTAATTCAAAATGTTTCGTACCAATCTTTATTAAATACAATCTTCGTTTCGGCTCATTTCAACATTTACGACTCGGCTTTGTTCTTGTTTATATTTTGTCGGACTTTTTTGAAATGCATTCTCTGCAGAATTTTCTGCGCGCGGCTGTACCGAATTTGAAAAACGTTTAAACGACACTGTAACTGAACAGGAAAACGGGATTGTGAGAACATTTAATTATTTTTCTAGAAATTTTGTAAGACTGTAAGTTAAAACAGAAATGTTATCCAGAAATATGAATCCATAAAGATCGCGATTCAAGAGGAATTCTTTGAAACATTATACGCAATGCAGCAATACGTTTTATATTTTATTAAATTAATAAATAAATATTAATAAATATATATATATAATAATATATATAATATATAATAATATATATATTAATAAATAAATATTTTATTAATTTCATGACATTTTGATGAAACGTTTACGAATGGTAGAGGCTGATTTGTAGGACGGGAAGATTGTAGACATTGTTAAAGGCAAAGCATAGGTTGTGAGTCAGAGGGAAGGGACCCAATCGATGAAACTTCTTCGGCCCTTCATTATCAAGATATCATGGAATTATTGCTTTAAATAAACTCTGCTCTTAATAAATTATTATTGCTCTAAATTATGGAATTATTGCTCTAAATATTATTGCTCTAAATTAACTATCTTATAGTTAATGCACATTTTGCACTCATTTTTTTCGCTCTCTTTGAGGACGTTTATTATAATTTAAGAACATTTGCATCGATTTACATTACAATCGCCTGTGAAATTACACGTACGAGCATGAACAAGTTGTAACATGACAGAAACGTGAATTAATTGAGGTGCACACACTGTTTGTGTATGAATTTAGTATTAAGTCCCCTCGAACGAAAGTTCCATGAGACTTTTATTTTATTTGTTAATCTTAATTCCCGGCGAATGTGAAAAAAAAGAACGCAAATCGAATGCAATTAATCGCGACACGAAAAAGCTTCGAGAAGAACAGATTTAGCCTGTAATTTAGTCTTACTTGTTCAAAGTCCCTTAACTGTTAATCTTTAATTTTTTTTAAACATTGTGTTGAGTGCGTTAGATGTGATTCGGCAGAAATTATGTTGAAACGGCCCGTTTAAAAGCGAACACGGATAGATCGCCGAACGAATATGAAATTTAGATTTTATTCATACATTATACACGATACATTGAAAGAATTCTTGTGAATTCTCTGCGATACAATTCGCAGCAAGGATACGTCTACCTCGGTATTGCGAGGCTTAAGAAAATCTATATTCTCGCATGTCAGACTGGTCAAGGAAGATCGTCCGCATGCGAGCGCTAAGAAAATGCTAATCTCAGGCTCTGCTGTTTCTGCACCTTCTAGGACAAACCCATTTGTTAACCCTTTCTACGACGTAAGTAGGTTATCGTATATAAACTGGTCGAAACATGCTTTGATGTATCGCTTTACGTCACACAATGTCAAACGTATCGCAAAAGGCGGTAACGTCGCGACCCTAGTTTTTCTACTTTTAACGAAAGAAACCTTTAATTTCCATGGAATGAACAAAACGGTGTTCTATACAGGTTGCCTCGTGGATGATTGTACTGGGTTGGCAACTACGTAATTGCCGATTTCAGTTATAGATGTCTCTCACTCCCATTTTTATGATATCCGTAAATGTTATATTATAAAATTATTATTATTATTATTATTATGATATTTTTTATTATCCGTGAATGTTAACAACTGGACAAATTGAATGCAGCGGTCAAGGGAAAAGCGACCAGAATTGGTCAATCGTAAAGGTGTGATTTTCCAGCAGGACAATGCTAGGCCGCACACGTCTTTGTCCACTCGGCAAAAATTGATGGATATTGCTTGGGAATTGATGTTACACCCACCATATAGCCCTGATCTCGCGCCATCGGATTACCACTTATTTCGATCCCTGGACAACTCCCTTCGTGGTAAAACTTTGAATGACGATGACGCTGTAAAATCTCACTTAACTCAGTTTTCGGCCGAAAAGGATCAGACTTTCTACGAGCGTGGAATTTTCAAGTTGTCAGAGAGATGGCAAAAGGTCATCGAACAAAATGGAAAATACATTACAGATTAAACTTCGTTCCAAGTAAAAAGAAATTTTTATTTCATTGAACAAATCGGCAATTACTTAGTTGCCAACCCAATATTAATCATGCAGTTGATCTTGGAGATATGTACTACTAGTAAATTATTCCATAAGGAAAGAATTTTTTAAACTTCGGAGTCATTCGTTGTAGAAATTGTAATTTTTATTCTATAAAATGAAAGGTCATTTAACAGGTTGGGAAAATTTTATAAAATCTAATAAAAGTTATTTCAATTGCGTGACTTAGTTGCCAACCCAATACAATCGGGATGGGGGTGATTCAACGTAAAAATATTGGTCGAAAATATACAGTACAATTCTTCCATTCTGGAAAAATCGCGTACATTTACAAGTCTGTATCGTATGTGATGGAAAGGATTTCGGTAAAATCCGTGTGTCGTCTGCAGACATCGTTAACATCATGCGGAATGTTCTATGTTGTTTTGTGTCAGCTTAAAGTAGGTTTATAAGTAATTATTATGTTGCCGTAACACAACGGAAAAATTTGCCGCTCCTTCCACTGTTTTCTTTCAAACACGATGACGCACACCAGCAAAGAGTACATACATATACATAAGGGGTGAACTTCTTACTTCTGATCAAATCTAGAACGTAATCAAAGGTTTGACGCATGTAACCTTGCAAAAGAAAGAAAAACGTAGCTTCAGAACACAAATAAGTATCTTGATTTACCAGTATTGAATTTATGTTGTTAATTCAGTCAATTCAAGCAGTAATAGAGTAATAGAGCAACGCGGAGTAAACATATGCTACTGAATTTACACACACACACACACACACACACACACACACACACACACACACACACACACACACACA